AGCCATCAGCTTTATCCCTCTCTAGTGCACTTCCATTTCTCAGGCACCCTTCCAATTTTCAAAATTGTGCTAAAAAGCACACTGCTCCTACTCTCTTAATAATTTATTACAATAAGAAGAAGAAGAAGAGGAAGCGGAAGAAGAAAAAGAAGAAGAAATCATCCACTTAATCCTCATATGAGAAGTTTAGCTGAAACGATTTAATTGTTTAAGTTAATTAACTAATCAGCATACGGTGGCGCTATTGCTACCATTTTTGACTATAACAGCGAGGAGTGGGAACGCTGCCCACCAAATTTCACTCTTGTGGTATTTACCACTAATTAACACTAGGGGCAGGCGGCTGTGCTCAAATATTTGCCGAACGAGGAGGAAGAAACGAGGAGGAAGAAGGAGCGTTGCATTGCGTCATCACGTCCAACGTGTAGCACAGAAGAAACATGGCTTTGAATGGAGGTTTGTGAACTTGTGTTGTAAAAACAAGCTGACTTTGACATTTCTGCTGCTTTCCTGCATTGTGATTTAAAAAAAGAAATTCTTTTTATTGAGGCTGTTCCTCTGGGTTACTTTATTTTTGCTTTTAAATTCGTCGCTGCCAGCGTAAACATGTTGTTAGCCAAACGGTAGCCCGGCTGGTTTGCTAGCTAGCTTGTCATTTCCTAGCAGAGCAGTTCACCTGTGATAGTCACACTTCAAAACAGTGCCAAAAGGGTTTTTGTTATAATCTCGCTGAAACGGTAAAGTAGAAGCAGACATATAATAGTATCCACAAGTTACAGAAGCGCTTAAGACTGTTTATAATCCTAAAGTTTTAAGAATACGAAAGAAGGATAGTTGTGGTCTGAAATCTGAAAATAAAATAAAATTAAACGTTTCGGCTGTTACTGACCTGCAGATGAAGAGGATTTTAAGTGGGAGCCTCCAACAGAAGCAGAAATGAAGGTGATCCAGGCTCGTAGGGAGCGGCAAGACAAAATCAGCAAGCTGATGGGAGACTACCTGCTGAAAGGGTACAAGATGCTTGGAGAAGCCTGCGAAGTGTGTGGGGTGAGTGAAGCAGGACGCTGTGCTGTGTTTGTCAGGTTGGGTGAGTTAGCCTCTGATATGTTATCATGATATTTTATTAAATATGCAATAATTATATTTCAAAGTATATAGAAAAATATCAACGTCCTGATGATTGCAGCTCCCAGCCAGCAGCAAACAAAATGAAGACTTCCTAATTTGAAGTATGGATCTATTGTCAGAAGATGCCAGCAGGGTTATAGTGCAATAGTACTGACACTGCATGATAAACAGTGAGAGAGCAAAGGCCAAATGTAAGCCCAGAAATGGCTTAAATAATGTAATCCCTGGAAATTTTAAGTAAGAGCTTAAAAAAAGGTTAAAACAATAGCAGTTTCGCAACAACTATTCCAACTAAAGGAACTTAACCTGCACCTAATAAAATTGAATAATATTTTCTACCTGGGATGTCATATCTTAGTTGAGCTTTTTAACCACCTGTTTAACAGAAGGAGGTCGTTTTGACCCTCTTGGCATTTTAAATGTGACTTTGTTAAATTAAAACCTCATCATCATCATCATCTCGTATTTCATCAAACTCTGAATTTTGAGTGTGGGATCAAAAGGGGAAAAAAATATGAGTGCTTTTATCTAGAACCACGGAGGACATCATTTTGACCCCATAGAAACTGATGTGAAACCACTGCTGTAGCAGAATCAGAAATGGTTTTATTGCCAAATGTTGAGCAGGTTTACAACATTAGGAAATTGCTGCGGTGCTTCAGTGCAAACACAGGGTTGCCCAGCAATACCATGTTTACACTTGAGCCAGAACTTGCCAGATATGATTTATTTAAAAACTCTATGTAGGGGGACTGTAGTTGGATCCAAAGTAAATAATTATTGCAAAGCTGAGGATGGGATTTCAAGCCGAAGTGGAGTGGTACAGAAGCACTGTGTGACTGAATGTGTGAGGAACCAGGAAGGTTGATGGCTGTGCAGAGGAGCCGTAGCTGAAATGAATGGAGAGCTAATCCGAGCAAATAAAGAGTGAAATCCAGAGCACAGCAACCAAATCAGTTTTAGTCTTGAGCAGGTGAAGAGGTGAAGAGCTGCAGGCAGAGGAGTGAGCACACAGATTGGGTGATCAAAATCACCCCTCCTGAGGGTTCTAGTGTTTATCGTCTATAAACGTTACAGTTCTGTTAGGATGTCCCAAAAGGGGAAATCTGATAAGTATTACAAACGCATAAATATTGAAAAAAACTAAAATAGGGTAAAGTGTGAATTTTATAGGTTAGTTTTAATGTAAAGATGGCACAGATAGTTCTTTCAAACTATATGAGATTTGTACATTTATATTTTCCTCATCATTTTTTCTTTTCTTCATCTGCCTCATTCACCACTTCTCCCTTATGCCCACCTCATCCTTTTCCTGCTCACCTGTAGTCTCATCTTGTGAACTGAATTACATGCTTTAACATAAGAAAATGTCCATAAAAATACTTATTTATTCCAGATTTCACCTGGTTGTCAGCAGATTAGACACTCCTGTCTCCAGACAGCTGGCAACATACCAACTATAACACCACCTGGTTATACGCTAACATTGCGCCAGCTAAATAAAAATCCCTCCCATAAACAGTTTGATTACACTCTCACATCGTCTGAGATTTTATTCATAGAGGCTGACAACGTTAGATCCACTTAAAAGAAAGCTTCTGACACAAGCTCACATCAGGGGGGAAAAAAGAAAAAGCAGTGGTTACTGACAGAAGTTCAGGATATCCTCAACAACTCACCTCAGTATCACTGTCATCAGGAAGGACTGACTTTCTCTGACTCATTGACTCATCACCAACTTTTACAGCCTCCTTCAGAAGCTGTAAAACTCCCCCACTGTAAATGCACGTGGGGTATTCTCACCCAGCATGTTGACAGCTGAGGTAAACTGTGATCCGAGAGTCTTCACTTACTACACATGAATGCCAGACAAAGTGACTGGGATGAAAACGTAAATTATCGCCTAATGTTTAATTGAAATGTGTGCCCCCGCCCCCCAATTTGTTGTTAGGTGTAATTGTTGTTCAGATATTTTAAAATATAGTGTGTGTGTGTGTGTGTGTGTGTGTATACAAATAGTAGTAGAAACGTGCATTTAAGGGGATGTTTAGAGCAACTGTTAATGGGGTGTAGAGGGTTAAAACACTCCTTTACCACAATGTTAACTGCATCAGTAATTTCAATCCACTGTACGCTCTTCCTGTCATGTGGAGTGCCCCAGTGATGCTCAGTGGAGTCATGTTTACATTCGGTTTCACATCACCAGCTGCAGATATCCTTTTGTTTTGTTTTGTTTTTGTTTGGCTTCATAGCCTGGTTGTATTTTTGCCTCAAGCAGTGAAACAACTTTTTTTTTTTTTTTTTCCTTCCTTTTGTTAAGTAGCTCCTTTGGGTCCTAAATCATCATCTCTTGTTAAACATGCCTGGGCTTGTGTCATCATCTGTGCTAGGAAATATAAAAACATGGTTTTGCTGTGTCATTGATGGTGCAAAGTGGCACTTTTAAAAAAAAAAAAAATTATGTAAAAATGTATGCAGGTGTTATCATGAACAGAAGGTGAGGAGTGGCATCATTTATATATTTGTGTTTTTCAGACTATTCTTCTCCAGGACAAACAGCAGAAAAACTACTGCGTCTCATGCCAGGAGCTGGACTCTGATATTGACAAAGACAACCCTGGTATGCATTAAAAAAATGTATTTAAAATGTATTTATGCAGGTAAACCTCATTGAGACATGGGGTCATATCTTCAAGATTGACCCGTTTAAATATCTATACAGAATTACATTTTAAAACATTAGAATTCATATAAGCAATTAACTGGAAAAAACGAATTTAAAAAACAAAACCAAAAAAAAAAAGAGTAGCATTAACACATTATGAGTAGGAGCAGCCGTCCAATGATGCTTTCTCCAGTGTCCTTAGAATTTGTTTAAAACCCTTCAGCTCAACCAGACAAATTTACATTTAAAGTTACAAATTTCAAGTTGTTTAGAAGATTTGGAAACTGTCATTTACACTGCAAAACGAGATTGAACATAAATTGCTACTCGACCACCCTTTCACAAACTGTCCGCACAATAGATATTTAAACCTTTGAATCACATAGTCTTATGTTTTCCATGTAAATAATTATAAATGTCTTTTCAAAAAACATACATATGTTAGCCCACTTTGTGTCCTTGTTACATTGTCTGCCCTTTCTTTCTTCCTCCCAGCCCTGAATGCTCAGGCTGCATTGTCCCAGGTGAGGGAAAGGCAGCTCGCAGCCCAGTCCCCCACACCGTCCCAGACTCCTGAGCTCAATGACAGCCCCAGCAGCAGTCAGGGAAATATGTCCATTCCCCAGCCTAGACCAGAGCACTGTGAGGGGGCTGCCGCAGGTGGAAGAACTCCTCTGCCTCCACCCGCTGTCCCTCCTCCTTCAACTCCAGCCTCCACTGCAGCCCTGGCACCAGCTCGTCCCTCAGTTACTCCACAGAGCTCTGCCCAGCGACTTGTGTTGCAGGAAGCCGAGGAAGCTGTCCTCACCAAACTTCGCTGGGCCACTAACCAGTTACAAAGCTCAGCCTCACTGGAAGCAAGCATCCAGCTCTGCAGCCTCATCAACAGCTGTGCCAACTCGCTGCGCAGCCTCAAGGAGCTCACCCAGTAGCTGCCACAGACTGGCTGAAACCCTGGAACACTGTTTCTGCTTGCCTCTGTCTTGGAGTAATGACTCTGGTTCAGCTTCTCTCTTGCTTAGAGATGATTTCAAAATTGGTCAGAAAGTATTATGAAAATAGGAATATAACATCAAAAGTGCACCGGTTACTCTTGGATTAATGTAGTTGTATAGCTGGCAGAAATGTTACAAATTTGACTGTTTTTTTTCACTCTTTTGGAAGTTAGAGCTGATATTAATCTAAAAACATAATTAATTTAACCCATTCTGTGATTAAATTCTTCTAATATGGTTTAATCTATAGAGCAAAGAGATAAATGCCAGTTAACACACGTTTCTATGCATTTCCATTGAGAAAACGCCAGCTTTTTTGATACAGCACCACAAATGCTGGACCCTGAGTTGAAACCACTGATGTCAGTGTCTGATAGAGGGGCTATCACCAGATATTCACCAATGATTTGCTGAAGCAGCCAACAGAGTCTGTCCTGCGTTGTTATCTCCCCTTAGAAATGACCCTTTCTTCCTCTCTTTACCACTCGATTGTCAAACCTGTGGAAATTTGGGATGGTCCTCCTTGGGCAGAACTGGCTTCACACTAGTCACATGTCGGTGGAAAAGAGTTATAAGGGATCTTTTACTACATTCAGATTTATAGTCAGTATTTTTGCCAAAACGCATCATTCCTCTAATGTGGCCCTGTATTGTCTCACAAAGCCTGCTGCTCATTCTGGCTCTGTTTCTGTTGTCTCTGCCATTGTGGCAGTGCAAAGATGGTCATTGTAGAAAGTTTTTGTTGTGTATGTGTTTGATGCCTAATGGTGACGGTCAGGTGGCTCGCCGATGTCTCTATGAGAGCGCGCAGAGTTCTGGAGTCAGACATAATACTTTGAAAAAAGCTGAGAGCAAATATACTCTGAATTGTATGTTGATAGAGGAAAAGCCAGCTTCAGTGTTGATCAAGGTAGTAAAAGATTTCTAATAATGTATCACAATAAAGCACTTCTTGTTCAGGAGCTCTGCAGCTTGTTTCTTTTCATAAGAGGGCTTCATAAAAGCTGGATCCATACACAACACCATCCACACACAAGGTGCGGTTTAAAGTCATTTACAGGGGCACAGAAACACATCAAAATATAGTTTTAATGTGAGAATGATGTGTTGAAGAAAGTTCAAAATAAATGTTTATGGCTTTTGCATCATCTCCATGCAAGTTTTGATTTATTGCGTGGCAGGCTGGATTTAACTGGAGTTAGAGAAAACACCGTTGTGCACTTTATCCGAAAATCAGGACAATCGTGGTGCTGTTGCAGCCGGGTGAAGCAGGGATGCTGTCTGAAAGCTTGACTTCACATTTGTTACTCGTACATTACATCTAGTCTGCTTTGCACTTGGAAAGTGTGGTTCGATGGGGCAGCTATTTTCTGTGAGAATAAAACAGAAATAAGGACTGTTTCCACTTAAGGTTTGTTTTCCATGTTTTATCTGTGCCATTGCGTCTCCCGATGATGTGATGGAAGAGTTTGTGCCACGGAGCTGACTGTCCACTGGGTGGTGTCTTTTCATCACTGAAGCTGCTGCTGCTGCTGCTGCCGCCCAAGGGTTTGCAACATCCTGACCTCCAGCAGGGGATGCTGCAGGGGCTCGGAGAAATTGCACATCAGGTGAGGAAGCATCCAGTCCAAAAGTGATCATCTTCCAAATTGTTTTTAATTATTATTGGTAAACATTATAACAGGATTTACACAGGGGTTTTTATAGAAAAGAAAAATGACCTGTTTTGCAAGCCACGTTCATCTTTTCACACAAATATTTATACAGCACTTTATTCTATGCACTTCGGAGCTTCTTTTACCTTGCATCCACACCTATACCCAATTTAAACTACTACGCCCTGTCAAAAACACTCAGTCATTCTAATGACTCCATAACAGCGTCTCAAAATGAAACTTGAGCTGTAGTTGTTTATTTTATTTTATTTTTTTCAAGTGGCAAGCACAGATGTTTTACTTTGGCGCTTCTCTGTTCTGTTCAATCCCTCTTTGAATACTGATAATGGATTCTCTAAGGAAGTGGAGAAAGATAAGAAGCACACAAGAGTTCTCTCTTCCTCCTTGTCTCTTGCGATTTCTGAGGCTGGTGACGTGGATGAATTTATCCTCAGCAGCAGAGGTGACTCTTGGTCTTCATTTCCTGGGCCGGTCATCATGTGTGCTAGTTTCATCGTAGCACTTGATGGTTTTTGCGACTACACTTGGGGACACATTCCAAGTTTTTCCATTTTCTGGACTGACTGACCTTCAGTTTTTAAAGTAATGATGGGCTGTCATTTCTCTTTACTTAGCTGGTTGGTTTTTGCCATAATATGAATTCTAGCAGTTGTCAAAGAAAGCTGTCAGCTGTGTACCAGCTGTGAGTTCTGCACAACACAACTGATGGTCCCAACCCCATCAAGAAGGCAAGAAATTTCACAAATAAACCCTGACCTGTGAAGCGAAAACCATTTCAGGTGACTACATCATGAAGCTCATTGATAGAAGGCAAAGGCAGTCAACAAAGCAAAGGGTGGCTACTTTCAGGAATCTAAAATATAAAACATATATATATATTTTTTCTACATGACTCCATATATCTTGCTTCATGCATTTGATGTTTTCAGTATGTGTCTACAATGTAGAAAGTAGTAAAAATAAAGAAAAACCATTAAATGAGAAGCTGTGTCCAAACTTTTGACTGGTGTGTATATCCATGACAGCTTTATTTGCCATTCTCCTGATGTGATTGGTAATGTCAGAGGGGAAGTTTGAAACCGTTTATAACAACTTATGTGGCCGTTTCTTCCTCTTATAAACCTCAGGTTGAAATTTAACCTTAGATTAGTTGAATTTATCTGAAAACATGAAGTTGTAAAGTCCGTTTTCTCTCGTCGTGCTGCATGCTTGATATGAGAATTGTGTAAAGGTTCCCTAATCTATGTGGGATCCAGAACTTTGCAACTTGGTAAAAATTAACACTCATTCAAAAGTTGTATGCTACTCCAAGCAAAAATACACTAACTTGGACGCGCTGTGCTGCAGGAGAACTTACAGCCACTGCTGGAGAAGAAAATCAAGAGAGACGAGTAAGATCAGATGTTAGCACTGTGCAGGCATATTTTGTGCCATCTACATGCTCCAACGTGCTTGTTGTTTGATTCTGAAAATGCATGCCTGCATTCACAGAGATGTGAATGCAGGCATGCAGTTTGTGGTTTCATGAGGATTTTGTCATTTTTCTCTGTCCATGTTTAATACAAAGAAACTTACTTGTTTTTTTTATGTCGAACAGGATGCTTTCATGTTCCTAATCAGCTGTTTGCCACTGTGTGTGATACAGTGGGAGGTTTTAGAGACTCTGAGTTGCAATCCTAGAGTTTTATCCTTCACACAGTAGTATCAGGGAGGTTTGTGAGTTCTTCAAGATTTTCTTACTTCACTTCAATATGTTAAATGACCATAGGTTTTCAACAGCAGTGTATGGGGGGGGGAAACAACCTGTTTTTTAAAATTATGCATACAAGACAAACCATTTTGCTTCCTCTTGAGACTCCAGCGATAACAAAATCGACCTTCAGATTATCAGAAATGATTCCTGAGTAAATCCTGATGGAATCCTGTTCAGAGGTCATGAATGCAGATATATTAAGCTGTCATTAAATGTTTGAAAGTCAGTGTCTGTGTTTAACAAGTGACTTTGCACATCATGGTTTTTCTTTCTACTTTGCATTTAAGTCTTGGAATATAACTTCAGCATGTGCCACAGATATGAACGGTATTCCTGCATTCGGTTAAAGACAACCAGGGGGTGGTATTGCCAAATATGACCAACAGGGGACATGCTGCCTTCAGCCAAGAGAGAGCTCCTGCAGTCCTCCACCTTCTCCTCCTCCTTCTCTGAGGTCATCCTACATGGCTGCAGCATGGGGAAAACCATTTGCTTTGGAGAGATGTCTGAGAAGAACGTCTCACGCTGTTCTCTATTTATAATCAACACATGTTGTGGATATTGTTAGAATATGCCTCTCTGTCACTCTAAATGACAGTTGGGCTGAATTTCTGTGTGTGTGTGTGTGCGTGTGTGTGTCTGTGTTCATGCTCTCTATCTCATCCATCACCAGAATGTTTTTGTGGTTTGGCCTTTTAGGCTCAATGCAAATGTAAATTTTCACATATTTCCCACTGCTCACTGCTCGTCTCATAGAAGCCTTGTTATCTCTATTGGTATCATATGACTCAGTTACTGTAAATTCAACAGTCGCTGATTAGTAAAACAAATAGACATCAGAAGGGGTGGTGACAGCAGGCAAAGCTGGAAAGGGGAATAATACTACCAGAGCTACAATACACTGACTTGTGAGGTCAGTACCTACAGCTGGGAAATAACCCAGATAGGCAAAGAGAAACAAAAGTGATATGAAAATAAAAGAGACAACACAAAAATGACATGTTTGTGCTACAGTAGAAGAGGCCAGACAGCAGCAAGTGTTTACAGTAGACAGAAATTAGTTTTACTGACTGCAGAGAGCACCAATTAACAAATGAGGGGATGAGATGACACCGCAGGCTGTTGTGTGTGTGTGTGTGTACATGTTTAGAGTAGGATTGGGCAGAGGTACTGAGAGGTATAATGCTGTGTTGAATACCAAACCAAAGAGTAACATTAGCCCAACTCTGAGTCATGAGAGAGTTACCCCCCTGCTGCTGCTGCCCCACACTCCTCTACTCCAGCTGCCTCTGTCCATCCATCAATCCCTGTTCTCCATCCTATAAATACACTCCTGCTCGCACTGAGGAAAATCCCTGTGCCTTGACCTAGCTTACACACACGCATACACACACAAACACACACTGGTCTGTAGTCTATTGGCTCTCCTCAGTGGAAACTATTCCTCTAACTACATGATCCACACTTTCCTGAGTGAGCGTTGGATGACGCAGCCGAAACTCAGAAAGTGATTTCAGTTATATACCCAATTTGAAAAACGCAATTTCAAGACACAGTGTGCTTTCAGCTTGCTAGAGATGAGATTATGAACGGCTGATTAAGTTAAATGTCAGATAAGGCTGTTCAAGATAGCTAGGATCAAAGTCTGCAGGTATAACTGAGGACTGTCACCTCAGTGCCTCCACACAAGCAGCAAGATAAAAGAGTTTGCATACCACTGCATCAGTCTTTGCATATCCTGTCTGACTCTGCCTGTCTCTCTGTTGCTGGCTGCTTTCACCCATGAAAAAAGGGAGGGTTAACTAACTCTAAAGGAAGCAGAACTATATTACAACAACCCCACGCTTGAGTCAGCTGCGCCGTCTCCACATGTGGATTACTGGCAGAAAGAGAGGGACAAGCTGTCAGTGAGAGCTCCTGCAGTGGTCTGACTGAAACTTCGGGCTGCTGTCGTATTAATTTGAAGCTTGTGTTAATGACAGAGCGGAATCGGTTCCTCTTTACTGACTCTTCAGCTGCCTGTTCACGGTGTTCGGCTCTTGCTTCTCGGTACATGGCGACATTTCTGTCCTTTTTGTTGTGTGTCAGTGTGTGATTCAACTCGGTGCCAATGAGCGCAAGTCACAGCTTGTGTGAAGTTCATTATAAGCAACAGGAGCAGCAGCAGCAGAGAAGGAAGAAGAAAGCCTTATAAGGAGCACAAGCAGCGGACAAAGTTGGATTATTGTCAGGCGGAGGGCTTCTTCAGTTTTCCTCTTTCTTAGGTTTTATTTTAACCGCTGGAAGTTATGACTTCGGTGTGGAAAAGACTGCAGCGAGTTGGTAAAAAGGCTTCAAAGTTTCAGTTCATCGCTTCTTACCAGGAACTCGTTTTGGAGTGTACTAAAAAATGGTGAGTAAATGCGCTTTTCTGCATCTATTTGCTCACGATTTTTATTGTTGGAGATGTGAGTAGCCTCCTGATACCGTGTGAAGCCTGTTATTAGCTATAATAAGCCTTCTAGGACTTCTATGTTTATCTCATATCGTGGGT